GCTCTACCTGATCTTGTTGATGAAAACATACTCACTACAGACAGCCAGCAATCATGGTTTGGGGTGAGTCTGATGCCATCTTTCTGGTGGCATATCTAGGAGTTTTTAATATGGAGAGGTAGTAGGGTAGGGGGTGTGAAGGTGAAGTGGGGTTTTGATGATTAAGTGAGGTAGCTCTAGTTCATAAAAAACATTTCCATTGGAGGAAGGTTGGGAAGTGGCGACCTCTTTTTTTTGGGGGGGGGGGCGGCAAGGTGCAGCCTAGATACACCACTGCAACTTACTTGTTATCCTCCTCCTCATGTGCCTTGTCCAATGACGTTGGCAATCATGGCTCTCCATACATGTCCCCAGCCTTGGCTATGAAGTTGTTGTTATTGTTTCCTCTGAATGTTGTGTGCTCCCTCAAACTATATATAGACACATCAGGTTATAGGGTGTCAACTTGATGAGGTTTGAAGTAGACAGTGCACACTTATTGTGTTAAATGCAAAGAATGATCAACAATAACCTTTTCTTATTATCATTTTAGTCAATGATTGCCATAGGTGCTATATCCGGTGGCCCGATTGCTGGGATTTGTGTTGCATATTTTGGTCGGAAGTATTCTGTAATGTTATGTGCTCTACCGCTTGGTGTTGGCTATGCCATTATAGCGTCCGTAAGCAACGTTGCAGCCCTGTACGTTGGACGAATACTGACCGGCATTGGAACGGGAATGGTTTCTCTCTCAACCCCAGTAAGTTCAAATTAATTCAAAAATTAATAATTTTTTTCATAACAGTATTAGTTGATCCTATCCCCACAAAACTATGGTTGTACTGGCAACGAAAAAAATGTGTTATGCACAATTGACAGAATTTATTTTATTACAAACTGAATCGCTGTACTATCAAATTTTATTTGACAAAAAACTGTTGTATGCCCATATATATAGTCTTGATGTGCCTATATATGGTCATGATGTTGAAGTTTAAGTTTCTCTTTATTGCCACTGAAAATATTTGCATTAAATTCTTTTTCCAAGATTCAACATACACATAAATAAACTTAAATATAAAATATAGTTAAATGGTTTTAAAGTACAAGATACAATTGATTAGGTGATATAAAAAATATATAATATAATATACAGTACATAAACATAGAATCTTTCTGAAATACACTTGATTGCAACTGTCTCTTAAAGTCTTATGGCTTGCATTGTTTAGTCGGATTGCAGAAGTGAGAAATGAGTTGTTATAACGTTTTATTTAATGAGGGAATAATGTGACCTGATGTACTGAAGTTAATATATTTACTTAGAGGATGTGTTGTCATTTATAGTATACATTTAAATTTCCTGTTTATGATGATGTGATGTCACCGTGACCATATTTTGGCATGTCACATGTTTTTGTCAAATAAAATTTGGTGGTCTGAACAGGGCTTTATGTGAATGGCTTTTATGCTTTAAGCTTTTAACTATATGTATGACAAGTTCTTGTAATCTCAAAATCTCCGAGTAGGGCAGTATAATATAGGCAGTAGAGTATATTGGCCCTAATGGCCGCCCATACAAAAAAGATCTATTAATCAATCAGCCAAGTGTTTCTAGAGCTCCTCATCTGAACTCAAAACAAAATTTGTAGTTAATACCAGATTTTCAAGTAGGCCACTCATTCATTTTTATTATTATATCAAAGGTTTATATAGCAGAGTTGTCAAGCCCAGATCGTAGAGGTGCATTGGGAGCCAGTTTTCAGCTCTCTATAACAATTGGTATTCTTTTGGTAAATATTTTTGGTGAGTCTCTTTCAATTATGTTGGTTGTAGCATTAAAACTACCGGTTCTAAATTTACTAAAAATTATTATTTTCATAAAACTAATAATTGAGAAGCACTCCCACTGAAGAGAGCAATAAATGTGTTGTATCTATAATTGATTATGACGTAAATGCTTTAAGTACCAGACTGTATGCATCAAACAGAATTTTTAGAATATGCTTTAAACGGCAAAAGGAAATACAAAACAAAAACATCTATTGAATTAAACATTTAAAACAATTTGATCAACAAAAATAATACAAAAATTATATAAGAAATGATTACTACCACAGATTATTAAATATATGAGTTAATAGTGTGAAGTGTTGGCCAATCACAATCATTAAAAGAAAGATACAATACACAAAATAGATCATTTATCAATTTAGAACTACTACAAATATTTAATAAGTGGAAAAAACATTCTTATAATTTACAAAAATGTTCTTTCTTTAAAATTTAGCAGTTTATTAATTTAATTCAATGTACAGTATGAACTAATACTAATTATATATTCTCATAATTTATGTTGAACAGGAATTTCACTTTCGTATGTCTGGCTAGCTAATGTCGGTTGTGCTCTATGTGCATTTCTTGTCGTCTTTATGCTGTTCATGCCAGAAACTCCACATCACTGTATCATTCGGCATGAACGTGAGAGGGCACTGTCTATTTTATCCTGGCTGCGAGGTGTCAATTTTAATGTTGTTCAGGAACTGAGGGACATTGAAGATAATATTAATTCACAATCGGTAAGATTGAATAAGTTTGAAAAAAAACCTGATCTCTGTTATGCCTAATGTCGTGTATCTATCTTTAAAAAGCTTGATTCTTTTTATATTTTTCCATTATCCATCACCATAATTTTTAATAGTATACACCCCAATGTGACCGGCTCTATCTAAACCAATGGTGGTCATAAGAGTGGGATTTAACAGCTAGGACTGCACCCAAAATTTTACGTTTCCAGTGTACCTTTACCTTTGCAAGTACCTTTATTTCAGTCTTAACACTCTTCCCCCATTCACATAGATTTCCGTGTTTGGTAACGCAACGCTTGACCGTCAAACACGGAGATCTCCGTGTCTCAGGTTCTTTTACGCAATCCAATAGATGGGATAATTACCAACATCGACTAACAAAATGTCCACAAATAATGGGTCCACATTTTAAAATTTGGTCCGGATTTCTCGTGTTTTGTGTAAAATGGGTCGAGATTTCTCATATTTTGCGTAAAAAATGGGTAAATTTTTAAGAAAATGGGTCTAGATTATTCATATTTTTGCGTAAAATAAGACAACGTTTTAGAAAATGGGTCCATACTATTTGAATTTACGCGTAAAGTAGGTCCAACCTGATACTGTCACACACCGTTTACAAATTCTGGCTATGGCATTGACCGTAAGTATTGCGCTATTTGTTTGTTTACATTTTGCTATCACTCACGCAATCGCGATTATCTCAGCTTCGTTATGCGAAATTACGTAAATATCCAAAAGTGAGTAATTTTCATTTTACTGTTATGGGTCACAAATTGTGATTAGAATAAAATATTTGGTACCTTTGTAAAGTTCATGGTTCTTGTATTCACTCCGTATCAATCTGATGACGTGCGCACGTTCAACAAGCTTCAGAAAAGTGTTAAAATTTGCTAAAAAGTGTGGCGGTGGCTGATACTAGTTTTTCAAACCTCTGGCGGTTAGAGTGTTAATACTGTATCACTTTTTACAGAAGATCAGTGTCGGGTTGTACAAAAAAGTAGTCAGAGATGTTTGACAGGCCGTATGCATAGGGGTTTTCATTTTACAGTCCACAACAAAATCATCAGCTACACTTTGCCCATCTGTGTCTAATGTCTAATGCCAACATTTGTCACTCTTTCAAATTAGTCTTGGTGTGGTTGTTTTTATTATTAAAACACTGAATGTTTAATTTGCTCACTGTTTGTAAAACCAAACAGCATTCATATTTGTTTCCCTGAATTGAATCAGTTTAGGGCGTCATATAGCATACAAGCACCTTAAAAAGGGCTTCTTCGCCCGGGCACCTGTGAATTGGAATCAGCTTCCACTTAACATCCGTCAGTCTTCATCTCTCCACCAATTCAAGTCTCTCCTTAAAACTCACCTGTTCCAATAGACTAATGGTCTTATAGCGCTGTGAGACACCAGTAACCAAGCTTTATAAATTTAAATTATTATTATTATAAACACAAAGCCACTCCAAGCTGATATAGGGACATGGTATATTTCAACTTTCATCGGACACTGATTTTCAATTGTACCCGAGATAATATATTTTGTGTGGTTCATTTTGTACATTCAAGTTTACATTTTCCCATTCTTTTTCAGTGAAGTACCTGAGAGAATATATTTTGCGTGGCTCGTTTTATTCATATATTCAAGTTTATATTTTCCCATTCTTTGTTTCTGATTCCATAAATGTTTACTCTATTCAAAGTAACTAAGCAAAAATACACAATTTCAAAATATGATTTGTTATTATAATTGTAAAATTAGCATAATCGCTTTTAAAAACAGTAATTCCTTATCAAAAAGGTTATAATTTGCATTTTTATTGTGATACTCTGTACAAACTTGTCGTCCATTATCCCATAATTTTTATGAGAATCTTTGGCTACACATATTACAGGGGAGAAAATTTATTAAATCAAAATAATAACAATCGTAATTTAATTGTGTAGATAACCTTAGGATAGTATTTTTTGTAAAAAAAGATTATAAAGAATTTAATGAAAAAAACATTAATGACATCTGTTCAATTTTACCATCAATTAGTTTCTTCTTTTTCCGTGTACAGGAAGACTTCCACTACAGGGAATACTTACAACCAAACCTGTACATACCCTTGGCAATAAGCCTCTTCCTGATGTTATTCCAGCAGTTCAGCGGCATCAATGCCGTTATCTTCTACGCGGTGTCAATCTTTCATAGTGCAGTTCCATCAATTGAAGAGCATGAGGCTGCTATCATTGTAACTGGTGTGCAAGTTGTGGCTACGTTTGTGTCAGTTCTTCTGATGGACAGAGCTGGACGAAGGATACTTCTAATTATAGCTGGTAGGTTTATTGTACAGTCTAATTAAGGGCCACTTTAGGGACCAAGGCTTCCATGGTCTTTAGCCGCTTTGGTTTCCAATTAGAATAATAATATAGATTAAAGATATTTGTATGGGACCACAGAAAAGTGGTCTTTAATTGGAGTTGGTAATTAGAGGGGTCTTTAGTTAGAGGGAGACCTGTATTTTCTGTTTTATCGTTAACAGTAAACAGAAATAATACCAGCATGTGATGATGATGATGTTGATGATGGTAATAATGACAACAACTGCTGCAGAGGCGACTACAATGATTAAATAGTGTGTATATAAAGTATATCTGAAGAAGGTATACAACCAGCCAGCAATTTTTCATGATATAAATCATCAAACACATTTTTATTCTGAATTCTTTTATAACATACGAGTTGATAATTTGTTTGTTTCCTAATAATTTGAGATTTAATGTTTTCATTAAATTTTGTATGGTGTATATATATATATATATATCTGTCTGTGATCCCATATAATGCTCTGTCCTGTCTCTTATACACATCTAGATGTGTATAAGAGACCAATTTTAATACACAGCATTTTGATCTTTACTTCTGAAGGAGTTGGAATGTGTATAAGCTCAACTTCATTTGGGGTGTACTACCAATTGTCTGAGAAAAATAACACAAATAACGCAAGCACTGGTGATTTCATGGTAACAGCATCCTCCTCGTCCAACCTAGCATGGCTCGCCATGACAAGTATGGTCGTGTACATCACATCGTTCTCACTCGGATGGGGTGCAATTCCATGGCTTATCATGTCAGAGATTTTCCCAACAAGAGCAAGGTCCTCTGCTTCTGCAATTGCTACAGCTGTCAACTGGATTTTTGCATTTATAGTAACAAAAGAGTTCTATGCTATGTCAGTAAGTATCTTAGGATTATGATCATAATGATGGTGAAAACTACAATAATTATTATAGTAATGTTAACAATAAAAATGTAGTCATTGATAATATTTGTGTGGTTGCAAGTGCTTTAAACCCAGTCTTCATTCAGATTGGTAATATGATAGGGGACCCAAATCTCCCACGAGTTATGGAGTCTCAAAAAATGTTCTCCCGCACTCCTGAGAGCAAGCAAAGCCTCCTGGAAACTAACTCATCTCTTGCTAATTTATGTTGTTTGCATGTCTTTACTACTTACTATCATTTGTCTCCCTGAGAAGTCAGCTGGCTATGACTACCACCATATGCAGCATACTTGAAATTAATGGGTTCAGCTGGGCAGTCACTATATTGTATGACGGTCGTACAGTACAATGAATCCAACTCCACTCCGTGTGAGTGCAAGTCAACACGCTGTCTACTGATTGTTGTCACGTTTTCTATAGAATTGCATCGGCCAACGACTATGTGGCACAGTGCTTGCCCGACTTTAAGAAAACTAGATCTCCTGGGAGTCTTGGGACCCTGTTATGATTCGCAACATGCAACTGCGTACACTCTCTTGTGTTTTTGTGTATGCATATTCATTATAGCCGAAGCTCACACTCATTCTTTTATAAAGTTCCTTTCCTACTTCTCCCCACCCCAGGGGTGGATCCTGTAGGGGAGCACAGGGGAACCCCCACCCATTTTGCCTCTAAATCTTTACAATTTCAGTGCATATTGTTGTTGTTTGCTACTCACTTATTTATTCTTAAACTGCTATGTGCCCCCGTTTGAACAATTCTGGATCCGCCCCTGTACCAGATCCGCCCCTGTCCCCTTCCCCATCAACTTTGACAATGTATCCCTCAACTGCCTGCTTTGTGTTTATAACTAAATATTTCTACCAATTTCTTAATTGTTGCAGAGTGCGATGACAGATGCTGGTGCTTTTTGGTTCTTCGGAGGAATCTGTTTTCTTGGCGTTGTGTTTGTCGCAGTTTGCGTCCCAGAAACAAAAGGAAAGTCGCTAGAGGAAATTTCAGACTATTTTTCACGGGATCAAAGAGTTCTTGACTTTCCAGTGGCTGTAGGGGGAGACAATGAATCTAAGTAATAAATCTAATTCCCCAACAGCGATATTTTATTCATATACAAGGCAGTCACCTTTTTTAACATTACAGCTGTATAAATAAAAAAAATTGAGATTATAAATCAGGCAATTATGCGATGCTCATTTCAGGATGGTTATAATTTCAGTTGGCTAAGGATAAATGGTTCACTAAATTTTTGGTACTGACATAAGGGACTACTGTAACTAAAGGTCACAAAATAAATACTTGATTATGATATTAAGATTTGAGATCTGGAGCTTTATTTATTGAGCGTAGTGCTCTAATTTCTTTTTACCTCATAATTACAGATCATACTTTTATGTGTTATAATATTTGTTATAAAGTATGTATTCCTGTATTTTTATATGTTTTCACCTCAAACTTCCAAATCAGCTTTTTATTTGTCTAATGATGATAAATATGATTGTGATGATAATGTTTAGCCATTTTTATAACTGCCTGTATTTCTTTTTATTGTAAGAATAATTATTTTATTTCTCCAAATAAACACAAATTATAAAAATCATTTGAATAGTAATTATCTATTAGAATCTGAAAAATTAAAAACTCATGTATTAGTGGGAAGTTTAGTGTCTGAACTACTGTAGTAAGAAATTTATACTCATATAAAGAAGTCTATTAAATGGACAGTCGGTAATGTGTTGTATTTAGTATTAGATTTAAAACTTAAAAATAAATGTGACTATAAAACATGACTGTTAGCTGATTCTATAGGGGTTCTAATCTGGCAGGTCACCAGGCATTTCCAGCCTGGGAGTACCGTACATGTTATCCGGCCCTCTAGAACAAGCCCTAAGATATGATAATACTATAAACAATGATCTAAAACTACTGTAAGCCACTTTGGCATCATTTCACACTTGGCCTACTTTACAAAAATTGTTTTCATGTAGAAGTAGTCACCCCCCCCCCCCTCTCTACTGTAGATCATTGGATCACACCTTAAAATTGATTCCATCTACAAATTATATAATATATACTTCAGAAACCCTGCTATAGAAAGTATATGTTTACTGATTGGGGGTATTTTTTTGTGCAGTATTATAGAAAGATTAATTATATTATGCACACCAATGCACAGTAGAGATAGTAGAGATGTTTTGCTACAGTATGTGTAGAAGAACAGTACATGTAATGTATAAAAATATTGTGCTGATGTAATCAGTGTATTTCATTTAAATGTTCAACTCTAAGCTATGCTACTGTGCACAGAGAGGTTGTCCTGCTTTTCATACTTACTGTAAAGATTTATTTTTATTATTTAATTTAATTAAATTGGAAGTAATATTTACTTCTGTTTAATGTAATTTTTACTAAGCTAGAGATGCCAAGAATCAAGCATCGGTCTATTGCTATGTCCACATTGTATAGTTTTCTGTGACAAATATATGTGATCCCATATAATGCTCTGTCAACACTATCAAATTTTCTGTAATATAAACTGTTCATATATGGTCATGATGTGCCTATATATAGTCATGATGTGATGTCATCATGACCATATTTAGGCATGTTGTGTTTTTTTCAAACAAAATGTGACAGTCTTGACAAGGCTTATGGGAAATAAGATGTCCTCACACCCATATATGGGCAATTCACAGTTATTTACACAAACCTTTATAATAAGTAAAAATAGTTGACATTTACGAGGTTCTAATATCTGCAAGGTATCAGAGCCTTATACCCATGGTACCAGAACCAAAAGGTTGAAAATTTAATCTTAGCTTAAAAATCGTCTTAGATGTGTACAACCGACTTTATAATTTCCAGCAATTTTTAGGCTAAGCAATATTGATAAATCTGACTTAAGCAAAAAATGGAACGAAATTCAAGCTGATTTCTAGTTTGATAAATCCGGCCATTGGTATAGAGCATTACATTTCTATATAATTATAATATTTTTGTTTTTGTATGCAATGTGATGTGCATATTAATGAATTTTGTATTCTATTCTTATACCAACCAATTGTGGTTTTTTTTTTTCCAATTGTTTAATAATTCTTTTTATTTAGTACCGTGTAAAGCAAACTGTATTCGCTTCATGCATACATGTAAACAATTTATTCCATTAGATTTCAAAACATGCGACTCAGTTGAAGATTGTGATATTCAGAATTACACTTAAACAATGGGCATTCAGTTCATGTATTAAGATAGTTATGTAATTCAAAGGAAATAAAACGTTAATTTACTAGAGTATATGGTGTATTTTGATTAATTATTATTGTGCCACGTTTAATGGTCCTTTGCACTAAGCCCCGCCCCTTGGATATTGTTGCTAAGGTCCCACAAAACAATTGCGTATTACACGTGCGTTTATGGGACACAGCACGTGTTTGTTGGACGTGTGCGTATCCCGGCACTGGTCAGTTTGACTCTATTAACACTCCAGAAAGGTATATTATTGTGTGCTCTCTTTGTGTTTCACTATGGTTTCACCAGGATGGCAGTTGATTTCAATAGCGCACCGTCTCTTGGATAAGATAATATGCTGTAGATCGCATGTTGAATGGGGCCCATATTTATGCACATTAACTGGGTTTGTCTCCCGGTGTATTTGCCCAATTCACCTCCAGAAAGACCACACTGACAAAAAGTCTTTGGACTTTCGTGAGTTGTTACTCTTGCTGTATTTCCAGTTTTGCTAATGTTTATTTTTCTTGTCCCCGTAACTTACTGTACTTTCTCAAGCTTCAGACTCGGATGCCTGTATCGATCCTCTACAGTTTCACGAGCTAAGCACACTCAGACCATGGAATCGGACCTCCTGTTTCATGGTAACACCAACATAAGGGAGTTTAAGTATCATCCACAAATTGGAGTAGAACTCCGTCATAAACTCAACATGGGTTAAGTGGGTTGGTTTCTTGTGAATCAACATTTACTTTATTAATAATAGTTGGTTTTTACTTTCTTATAATGATAAAAGTCTGAATTTGCAGTGCTACACCGCGATATTAACTTCTATCAAAACTAGTATAATACCGTAAACAAAATGGAAAACTAGAATCCAGATGAGTGTTTTAATATAAGACTTTCATCTTTCATTGGTTTTCTGACGTTAAACTATAATATGATATTCAGATCTTAACCTGACATCCGTCAAGAAATAATTGACGCCCTCATTTGGTGTGAAATAAACCAAGAAACGGTCATTTTCATTCATTATTCAAATGTCACATGCTCTTGTGTAATGAAAGCACTGTTTCAAGCCTACATTAAACTATTTTTTTTAAATTTATATATATTTATTTGCTTTTTATATATATAATGTATAAATCAAATAAATAAATACATAGGCCTATATATTTATATTATAACATGTATTTATATACATATATATAAAATAAATAAACATATATATATTATATATATATATGTATTTATATACATAAATACGTACATATATATATATATATATATATATATATATGTGTGTGTGTGACGTGTGTGTGTGTGTGTGTGTGTGTGATAGTTCGAAAACCCTTATAGCCGAGAGTACTTTCATTTTTTCAAATTTGTGGCATTCGATACCATCTGAATCATTATTTACTTTTTATATTGCATATGCTACCACAATTATTTTGATACAATACAATATGGAGGCTAAATAATTATGCCTGATACGATTATATCATTAATTTGTTCCTAAAATTGAGCTCTGCATGACTAATTTATTTTTAAACAAAATATTGATGTGTATGCTATATGAGACGGATGGCAACAATAGCTACGTCATGCATTTTATATATTTAATATGATTTATCTTAATACGAGTTAAAGAGCATTGATCAGTGCCTAAACAGTTCCCCATTACAATGACCCCCCCCCCTCCATATCACCAAAACCTACAAACAGTACTGTAACTTTACACTCACAAATCGAACTATTTTTGTCCAACAAGCAAGATACATTTTTAATAATGGTTATTATTGACGAATAAATATCGATTATGGCTTTTCTACCGGAACGTTCATTAGGAGGTATAGAAATGTCGAAAATTAATCCTGTAATCACGTCGGGTCGATAGTGTGGACAATAACAATTGCAAACGTATATAAATGTGAATAAAATTCACAAGCAATTAAGCAGAATTTCTACATGGGATGTTCTTACCGGTATGGTTTATCAAGCTAGTCCTACAGACGCGCGTGTGTATTTACTTACTTTATTATTATTATCATCAACATCGTAATCATCGTCATCACAACCATTACCATCGACATTACCATTATTATCATCAAATCATTTACATCGTCAGTCATCATAATAATGATGATGATCGTCATTATCACAATCATCCTCATCTTAATCATCATGTCGCCATCATGTTGATGATCATCATCACAATGAACCGTCATTTCTCATTACAATAATACCAATGATGTTTACGACGACGACGATGATGAGATGCACACGATGCAGATGGTGGTGCTGGTGATTGTTACGGTAGTCCAACAAGTAAAAGCTCTAAATAAAAATATCCAAAAGGAGAGCTACAGTATATTACACAGATTATTATAAGGTGTGATTAACAATAATTATAATAATGATAGTAATGGGGAAACAAGCAAAAACATGATGTTTTCTCATATTCTAACACTGTGAATACAACCCCGCTATGTGTATAAATGGGCGTGGCTAAAACGTAATACCCCAAACTATTATTCATTCATGTATACCTGGATAAATCGTTGCCACCATTTGGTCTACCGGTTCCGACGAGTGAGCCCGCATATTCGACATCTCTCTTAAAGGGTTGTTGCCTGTGTAATCTAGCGATTTTTGGTACTTTTATATTTACCCATTTGGGATATCAAATTAGAATAGCGATATAAAAATGCGTGAAATTGTTCATATCCAAGTTGGCCAGTGTGGAAATCAAATAGGATCTAAGGTAAGAAATAAATTAACAATCTGAAAGTAAAAGGTGTTTAAATCATATCGGTAGTCAGTCCACAGGGACAACGTCACTCTAAAAAATATTAATTGAAATCGCTATGATTTTGTCACATTACTTTTAGTTCGAGTTGTTCTTAAAGTAGCCATTTATATACTCATCAGCAGTGATAAACTAAACACTACGCCCACCTGAAAGTACAAGGTTTTTAAATCATATCGGTAGTCAGTCCACAGGGGCAACGTCACTCTAAAAAAAAATTATTGAAATCGCTATGATTTTGTCACATTATTTTTAGTTCCAGTTGTCCTTAAAGTAGTCATTTATATACTCATCAGCAGTGATAAACTAAACACTACGCCCACCTGAAAGTACAAGGTGTTTAAATCATATCGGTAGTCAGTCCACAGGGGCAACGTCACTCTAAAAAAAAAATATTGAAATCGCTATGATTTTGTCACATTATTTTTAGTTCGAGTTGTCCTTAAAGTAGTCATTTATATACTCATCAGCAGTGATAAACTAAACACTACGCCCATAACCAACAAATATCAATACAATATGTAGGCCTGATATAAAATACAATTTATTTACCTTATTAAAGCAAGTTGGTTTTTTATCTATTAAAAAAATACTGTATATTAAAACTCTTGTTTAATATTCTAATTGGCTCAATTAAGCCAATACGTCTTTCATAATGTATAACAAATCTAGCTCCAAAAATAAGCATGACGCGGGGGCGGAGCCAGGATTATCATTGGAAGTGGGGGTGGGGAGGGGTGCGTGGGTATGCAAAAATACACCAACTGGCGTATAGGGGTCGCCCTGAACTCCTGACCGGGTCAGAGGAAAAGGTTTGGCAACAGCTTTGGCTCCGATAGATTAGGCTACTGGTTAAAATTTATAAAAAATTTATGATCATAGAAAATAAGAAACTCATTACATTTTCGACCGTCTTACACAAATATGAACTTTTCCAATTTAGGGGAGGGGGGGGGGTGTACGCACCCATCACACCCCCACCCTCTGGATACCGTAACGGGAATCGTTTAAAATGTCTCGAGAGTGTTCCAGAGGCGAAGCCCCCCAAAAAATGCCAGTTTAGGGTTTAAAATGCTAGGGCCTATTTAATCGTTAGAGTCTACTAATATGTAGAAAACACACATACGTTTTTTCTCTCCCAGACGAATTGTAGTTTTTCTCGGGGAGGAGAGGGCGGGGGGCAGCTTTCCTCGACGGGGGACCCACCGGTTGCATTTTTTTCTGGTGACTGATAACAACACTGTTCCAGATATAAGAACACGTTGGTCACTGGCTATAAACTCTTGTTTATTCGGTTTTGAACACTATGTAACAATCCTACAAACAATGTAAAAAAAAAACAATTAAAAAATAACTGGCACAGAATGCCGTGAACTCTTGATTAGTACCAGCCACAAACTGAATTTCAATCTGCTTTGGACGTCACGCGATGCGACGTGTACTGATTCTATGTAAATAATAAAGACAACAGCGTTATAATAATGCGTAGGCCTTCAATAAAAATAAAACTGCTGATAATTTAATAGACATATGGCTATCAGAATTGGTAACATTATTGTTGGCAAAAGTAAAACAAGAGCAGAAAATTATACGCCTATTTATAATATTACTATTAGAGGGATTCGGAACAGCTACAATCACAACGATTTATTCATTCATTCATTTATTTGGTCAATATCAACATGTACAAGTAAAAAACAAGTAAAACCACTTATAAAACCAGTTAAAACAGTAATTCAATTTTTTTTTTAATATGTAAAATTTCTTTAAGAAATATTTTAAAAATCGAAAAAAGGGGTTAAAAATTCAAAGATAAAAGGGTTAAAAATTTTTAATTTTCCAGCTCTAGTGTTCGTCTGTGCAATCGTATTAAATTTATACACTTTTAAATACTTTAGAAAAGCTTGTTATTGTCCAGAAATGCAATATTATTTCTGTTTATGTCTTTCAGTTCTGGGAAGTAGTTTCAGACGAGCATGGAATTGATCCAACAGGAACGTACCATGGGGACTCAGATCTCCAGCTTGAACGAATTAATGTATATTACAGTGAAGGCACAGGCGGCAAGTACGTACCAAGAGCAGTTCTTGTGGATCTTGAACCAGGAACCATGGACTCAGTTCGCTCCGGTCCTTTAGGTGGCAATTTCAAACCAGACAACTTTGTGTTCGGCAGAAGTGGTGCCGGAAATAACTGGGCCAAAGGGCACTACACCGAAGGCGCTGAGCTGGTGGAGAACGTCATCGAAGTTGTTAGGAAAGAAACCGAAAACTGCGACTGTATTCAAGGCTTCCAGTTGACACACTCTCTAGGTGGTGGAACTGGATCTGGAATGGGAACACTTCTAACCAATAAGATTCGAGAAGAATACCCCGATAGAATCATGAGCACCTTTAGTGTCGTTCCTTCACCGAAAGTGTCTAATACTGTAGTGGAGCCGTACAATGCCACGCTCTCTGTCCACCAACTTCTAGAAAACACCGACCAAACATATTGCATTGATAACGAGGCTCTTTATGACATCTGTTTCCGTACCTTGAAGCTAGCAACACCTACCTATGGAGACCTGAATCATCTTGTGTCGGCCACCATGAGCGGTGTAACGACATGCTTGCGATTCCCAGGTCAACTTAATGCTGATCTTCGAAAGTTAGCAGTCAATATGGTACCATTCCCACGTCTGCATTTTTTCATGCCAGGCTTTGCACCTTTGACTAGTCGTGGCAGTCAGCAGTACCGTGCGCTGACAGTTGCAGAGCTAACACAGCAAATGTTTGACTCTAAAAACATGATGGCAGCATGCGACCCCAGACATGGTAGATATCTGACAGCTGCTGCTATCTTCCGAGGACGCATGTCTATGAAAGAGGTTGACGAGCAAGTTATGAACATTCAGAATCGAAACTCTAGTTATTTCGTTGAATGGATCCCCAATAACGTCAAGACGGCTGCCTGTGACATAGCACCAAGAGGTCTTAAGATGTCAGTTACGTTTATCGGTAACAACACCGCTATCCAAGAGTTATTCAAGAGAATTTCTGAGCAATTCACCGCGATGTTCCGTCGTAAGGCGTTCCTTCATTGGTATACAGGAGAGGGCATGGATGAGATGGAGTTTACAGAAGCTGAGAGTAACATGAACGATCTTGTTTCTGAACTACAACAGTACCAGGACGCCCTGATCGATGATGTCGCAGAACCTTTTGAGGAAGAGGATGCGGGCGAGGAAGATTATTAGAACTCTAAATGTTACATAATGCCACATGCTTAGATAAGCGTTCTTAGGATACACTGATATAGCAAATATTTTGTGGTTTATTGGAAACAATGTAATTTATTAGAACAAACACAAAAAGATGTAGCCCTAATTCCGTTCTTGATTTTTAAAAATTTTATCCTATTATAGTATTGGGAGTAGGAGGAATAATACGAATTCAATCAACTCAATTTTACTAGTAATCTTCTATTAGAATTAGTTTTTTTTTCACATAATAATGAATGAATAATTCTATGTTCACCTTCTCAGAACACCTTTTAATTTTATGACCGCAACACGAAAACTAAAACATTGAAATGACAATAATACATAGTCCAGTATATGTGGTAATGAAATTATTATAATTTTAAAACACCATAAGCCAATCAAGGTCATATTTAAGTGGCCGACGGCTGACCACGTGCACCTGTTACTTTGGTGATATATTATTGTTTACATTGTATAGTCAGCACACTGATTATTGTTATTTAGCATTGATATTACGGATAAAAATAATGATATGGCATGATCTACCGGCATAATAAATTCTGTATTGTTCCATTTTTATTTGTGTCCACAACCGACGTTAACTATGAAGCAATTAGCTTCAAAGATAGAATAATTATTTTGATAGAGATATGTCTATATACATAATAATAATAATAATAATAATAATAATAATAATAATAATAATAATAATAATAATAATAATAATAATAATAATAATAATAACAATAATAATAATAATAATAATAATAATAATAGTAATAATAATATTAATTATAATAATAATAATAACAATGATTATAATACTGATGAAAATTATGTTGATGATAATAATAATCTAATAATAGTAATGAATAATAACAAGCATAGGTCTAATGACAATGATAATAATGATGATTAGGATAAGATGATAATGATATATATCTATCTATCAATAATATTAATAATAATAATAAAACATAATACATAATACATAATAATAATAATATAACAAGTGAAGCAGGGAATGATAACAATGGAATATGATAATAAAAACGGTAATAGTTATAGTAATTAGATACAGTAATAAGTAATTTATTAATAATAATAAAATAATAATAATAACGTATCAATAGTTATCTTGATATTATTGAAGAGAATAGCTAAACAGAGAATGCTAATTTTGAAATGTGAGTTATTCAATAATATTCCTCTGTATGGTATCGATACAGCCAAATAGTTCGTCAATTACATGTGGAATGTTCTCTTTACGTATGCAATATTCTCATTAAAAAATCACAACTCTTACTGAAAAAAAATGCAAATTAGCACCATGCTATCATAACAATGCGTCCAGGGCATCAGACATTGATTTTGAATTTACATAGCATAAGCAAAATAATCAATAGTGATATTAAGCTCTATTAAACATATGCTGCACGCAACTTAAGCAGAAAAAATCCAATCCAATTGAAACATGTGCTATTGGGTAATATTCTAAAAGTCTATATAATTCAAAATAAAATGCTGTCATAACAAATTTTAAACAATATGATTATTAAATATTAAACATTATGTTATTCAATATTTAAATTGCTTAATTTAACTTTAAAAAATTTTTCTATTGCGATAAAAAAAACAACTACATTGATTTTCAAGTAAAATATCATCTATTAAATAAGAGTTTGCTGGCTTATGCCTAATTTACATAAGGAAGTCGCGCTACATAATGTATATGTCTATAACAAAGATTTGAATAGTCATCATGAATAGAATACCGATAACAAACTAGTTCCAAATTATAATAATACTGTAGAAGAAACATAAAAACAGAAGCTCCAGAGAAAAAAAAACAAACAGTCAGTTGAAGCGAGCAAAATAATATATATGTTGCAGTGGAATCGAATCGCACTTCTAAATGGTCCCCACAGAGCAGTTTTAAAGGTAAAGTTTACTGTAAATTTGTCGTCTTTGCGAAATAAACTTGTAGTTTCTACTATTTAAAGTCTGCTTACTTCTTAAAACAAAGTTTAAAATTTCACTTCATAAATTATTACCTCAGTTCCCAGCTGTCTCCCTCTAACTTGCCTATCTTCCTTTTTTAATAAGGCCAGAGGTGGCACCAGGATTTGCTCGACGGAGGCGTCCGATATCCTGATGTCCCCAACGAGAGCAATGTGGGCGTGGTCGGGCGTCTTAAAATCTTTCAAAAGTTGTAAAAACATATAAAAGTATAAAATACATATAAATATTTTTTCTCCCCAACGAATTGTGGTTTTCTCCTCGACGGGGGATTGTCCCAGGCCAGAGGTAGATCCAGAATTTTTCAAACGGGAGTGGGTAGGGAGTCACAACAGTTTCAGAATAGGTAAGTGAGTAGCACATAATGATTTGTGCGCCATCTCTGAATCAGGCCCCATGTTAGTAAACCTATACCCCACTACCAATCGCCCTTTTCAGGATTCACCTCTCCTCAGTATGCAACCCTTCTCTTTATCAAGGATTCTCCTTCTTAGCATTCTCCCCTCTTTCGTACTGCTCCTCGCTGTAGTTTACACCATTCATATCTGGTGTATATAGCTTTCCTTTACACACTTCTTTCTTCTGAGTAGGTATATTTAACCGCCGTCAATATACACCCACCCGTCCGTTTTAGTAATCAACTCTCTTTGGTATACAACCTAAATTTATTAATATTACTTATTTCTATTAATATTTCACTCCAAACTAACTGCACACACCTTTCTATCTTCTCAGTACACCCCTCCTTCTCATTAGCATATACTCTGTTCAGCAGTCCACCCACCTGCTCAGTATTCTACCCCCTCCCCTGATTCCCTGTGTACACCACTGGATCTCCTCACTGTCTGTGTACATGCTATTTTCTAGTATACTTCCCACTCTCAGTGTACATATTTTTTATACTAGATGATAAGTATTATTCTCCCTTTTACTAACTATAACAAAAATAAATGACAAGTTTGGCAATATTAAATTCAAATTTGATGCACTTATTTGCTTTTTATTATGTTACATAAAAATCTCATTCATTATTCTTTCAACAGCTGTAAAATAACAGTACTGTATATTTTAACAGCGGAAATTCCTAGCCTTCGCAGTACAAAACAACTTTATCATATTACTCAGTGTAACTGTTTTTAAATTGGTTGTGATAATGACAATGTCAGAAACTATTAGATAATTTATATCAACAAAATTAATCCACAATTTCACATATATCAGAAATGAATTATTATGAATTTGGTTGTTAAATGATATGCAAAGCAAAATAATGTTTTACGTATACAACATGAAAATTAGGTGAATGAAAAGCAATGTAAGTAATACATGCAGATAGTGTGCATGGCAGCCAGTCACAAGACAAAATGATGTATTGAATTGAGAGTACGTGGTTGATGCTATGAGAAATTCAACGTTAATTCAATGATTGGAGGGGCATTCCTATTACAGAATGTGGATGATAGTCCAGTCTGTAGGAGTGCTAACTAATCTGGGAGGGTCTGCTGTACATGTTTCAACTGTGACCTGTTGTTCATTAGGGTTCACCTGGAAGCAGTTGTTGAGAAGGGTTTAAATGTGACCTATCGTTCATAAGAAGTCAGCTGGGAGCTGTCCCTGCCAAATTTTGATTGTCACTTTCTAAAGGATCTTGATCAATGACCTGTCGCACACACTGAACAAGCTGAGGGATACAGTGCCCTTCTTTTGCGGATATACCAATAACATCGGAAAACTTGATTAGAGTTTTGGGTTGCATCTCTGCTGGGATACCTGTAAGATCACCTGCAATGAACAACAGTCAATCATTCAATCTTCAATCAATCCATCAATCATTCATTTAATAAATCATTCAATCAACCAATCAATCAATCATTCATACATTCAATGAATCAATCATTAAATCAATCATTAAATATATAAATAAATAAATAATTTATTCAATCGTTCAATTCATTGATCGAATGATCCATCAATCAATCATTCTTTCAATAAATCAGTCAATTAATCAATAAATCAATCATGGTGGTTTATCAGTTTATGATTTCAGACTTTAATACCATCGTGAAAATAATACATTTCTTAGAAATTAAAATATATAAGTAAAAAATTGCTAAAACTAAGATAAAATTGTTTAAATTACCTTCTTTTAACCTGTTTTTAACTTCTTCAAATATATTTTCAGTGTCTGGTAAATCAAGCTTGTTAATAGCAAGTACCGCTGGCTTATCCAACAAGTGTTGCTTGTACAATTCAAGCTCCTATGTAATAAAAAATATATCAAAATTAATGTGTAGCCCAAATCAGTGTATAGTATGACAAGGGATGAACAGCATTTAAAGTAGAAGTTTACCAACTTTAATCAAATTATATAAAATCGGTAACCTTCTCCTTTAAAAGGGTGTTCTTACGTGAGGGCCTAAATTAAAATTTTTTTTAAAGGGTTATAATATTATTGAAAGAAGTTATGATAGGAGGTTACAGTAGTGTAGAGGAACAAGTACTACATGTCAAAAAGACAGGAAAATACCTTAAAAGTTTAAATACAATTTTGAATAACTCATTTAAAAGGATCTGAAAACTAAAACTGTTTAAAAAAAAATTGGTTTTCACTGATTTACAGACATTTTAATTTAGCAATTCTTAAGTGGAATTAAAATTTTCTATTTTTTTTAACTCATGACTGATAGTACATCTTTAATAAATAGAAATATTCTAATACTCAACCATTTTATCATCCTGCCAACAAAAGCCTAATAAAACAAAAATTTTGATAATTTAAATGAAAATATCTCATTTTGGCTGGTTTTTATTCTGCTTTTATTATGAAATCAACACTTCACCTTGTTTAAAAGAAGAACTGTTTCATACGCATTTCGGAAAAAGCTCCTTGATGAAAGCTTAAAACCATTTACATCAACAACAAACAGCAATAAATGTGTGCGTTCAACATGACGTAGGAACTTATGGCCCATGCCAAGGTTGAAATGAGCGCCCTCTATCAGTCCTGGAAGATCAGCCACTGTTATCTGCAACAGTACAATTAGAATGTGTAAGTGTCTGTGGTTCAACAATAAAATTATCAAGTAACATCTGACAAAATTTAGAAAATTTTGATGGGATGTTCCATCCACCCCAATAAGCAAACAGCTTCTCACTTTAAGTCATTTCCTTCACAGCTCAGCAGTTTGCAAATCAATTTGACTACTGCTTTATAAGTAGCTTCTCTCATTCTAAACCTTGTTTTGCTCATTGGTGGTTCTGTGCAATTGAAAAAAAAAGGACATGGGGCAATTCTATCATTGGCAGTGCGCAAAAATGAATTGAAAAAGGCCAAATATATTAGGCACCATTGAATGTGAACACAAACACTTCTTGAAATCACCAGTGTTTCAAAACTTACCTGCCTTAAGTCTGGATAATGTATTGTCCCAATTTGAGGTTTAATGGTGGTAACTGTAAGGCAATAGAAATAATAGTAAAATAAGTGCAAACTCTTAGGTACTGTACCACACCTAAAGAGCCCAGCAACAACCAATAACTAAATAGCTGCCTTACAGCTGTACAACATGAGGTGTACATGCCATTCCGACCAGCATGACTGCCTAGCCTAGCATGAATGTTATCTTTTTGGCACACTCTAGGTTTTGGCATGCAGTATAATATGATAAAGTGTTGCGTTGTAATGCAATGAAGCATTTGTATTCTTGTCTATTTGTATTTGTGTCTATTACATTTTAATGCGCATATGAACATATTTTAATGGAATTTGCGCAATATAAATGAATAAATTATATATATTAATATTATTATTATTTGTATAATTTCAACTTCAATGGCAACACAGACATACAAGAGCACCACCGTTCTGGTAATAGCTGTGGCACCACACATAAGATGTGCATTTTGCTAATAATAAATAGCAAGGAAATCTTGTGCATCCAAAAGTTAAATTTGGATATATTTCAAACATTATTCTGTATACTATCCCTAATAGTCTATTGTCATGCTTCTGGAATGGCACTTTTCTATGTGAAGATAAAACTTTTCTTGTAGAGTAACTGTCTGTAGGACTAAGAAGGAATTCTAACACCATGTTTTCAACTTACAGGGGTATTCTGCAATTTTTGGTGCTAATCGTGAAATTGTGCTTAGCAATGTTGACTTGCCTGCATTTGGAAAGCTAGTCATCAAAAAGAAATGAAAACAATATCAGTTTTAATTCAATGTGTAACATATTCTACAGTAATTATTTTAATATTATAATTTGCAAGATTTATTAAATAGGTGTTCTCTCCCACACCCCTTTCACCATCTGCAATGTATATCTTGCTTAATCAAAGGAACATACTGTATGTATCTAAAGCTGCATTAAATCAAATTGGTGATGAGGAGCTCAGAATGATTCTATTTTAACACATTATTGTTATCTAGTACCCAATTCACATGTACACATTTAACAAGTTGTTAAAAGTTTTAGCAAGGATAGTTGCATGTGAATGCCACAATCTCGGTAAAGTCTCTTGTGAAATCCTGTAACAACTTGTAATCTTTACCAGCCTCGAGCTGGCCTTAATTTACATTCAGATATTTGTTTTTCTAAATTTTTTTTTTACCCAAACTTCAAATAATCATTAGCATCTTTGTAAATAAACCAGTATTTTTACCTTAGACAGGACGTTTCTTCTGCCAGATATCATCAGCTGTGACGTCCTGAAACGTCCTGTGTAAGGTAAAAATACTGGTTTATTGAAGAATAACAATCATATTGCACGAATTGAAACCAGATGAAATTATTTGATCATAATTGACTGTATACTCAATAAAGAATGTTCCCTACCCTACTAAGCCAATGTCAGCCAAAATCTTTAGTTCCAGTGATAAAACATGCTTCTCGCCTTTCTGGCCATTCCAGTCATTGCTACTGCAGCCCCCTTTTCCTCCTGTAGCTACTAGTAACCTATCATCTAGGTTTACAAGGTCCCCTGCAAAATGTAAAATAATTACATTTTGTAAGTTACTCTAACTATAATTAACTGTTTATTCTGTTATATCTCATCTTAAACAGAGAATAATTGGCTGTGATGAACCTGTTGCACTGCAAGTAGTAACATTTATTGCAAAGAGGTATTTTTTTTTTAAATTTCATTTATTAAGCGCTATTTACATAGCGCTCTTACAAAAAGACATCAACATCACAAGTTAATTCAAAACATCAAAATCACATGAAAAAACAAAAACCCCCAAGCACAGCGAACAGGTCAGCAATGACAAAAGCCAATAAAGATTCTAAATATCAATCACAAGAAAGGACAGAACCCCCCAAGCACAGCGAACAGATCAACAATGAACAATGGCCAAAACAAAAAGGAAAGATACTTACCTAGTAATTGGTTTTCTTCTGAGTAAACACTTACACCATTGGGTATTGGAATCATCAAGTTATTTCCTTTTGAACCATGTAATATATGCCGCCTAAATATAAACAACAGTGTATTTTATTTACCATTTATCCGTGTAAAAAAATTTGCACATCAAGAAAAAAATGAATATACCAGTAATTGTTCAGAGATTTGTTAAAATAAAAAAAAAAATTGATAGATCATGCATTGACACCAAATAATAAATTAATATAACTGCAAAAACAAATATATCAGTTTACCTGCTATTTCTCCCTCCCTCTGCTTTGAATCTTTTAGTTGGATATTGTAGTTTTAATCCTCGTAGCGTTTGTGTTTCCGTTGGCTGTAGGTACACGTTTCCACCATCTCCCCCAATGCCACCATAGGATGGATAACCTTGTCCACCTGATCCTCCACTCACAAATATTCTAAGAGAGTCAGTAAAATTGATTCTACGCCTTACACTCTAAAAAAAAATCAATATAACAATTTAAAAGCATCAATTTTGAAAATGTGAAGACATATTTAAAGCCAGGCTCTGGAGTGAAACAAATTGATAAACACATTTTCTTTCCTCTTTTTTTGTTTACTAGAAGCCCAGAAACAACCCCAGAGACTTTTTAGGTGATCAATAATTTCTTTTTCTTTCCTTTTTTGCATTTTTTTACTTTTTTTTTACTTTCCAAAAGAGGGGGAGGGGGGCTGGCTTGGTTCCCTAAATCTGCCCCTGTAAAAGTGCTGTGGTGCTTATTATGTACATCATGCACAACAAGGTTGAAAATACATTTTACAGCCACTGGCTCCGGAAGAAATTTTTCTGTTTTTGATATGTTGTACAACTGACACAAAAAGCATATTTGGCGAAAAACTCAGAAGCAGTTAATGTCAATGAGACAGATTTTTGAATATTTAAAAACTGGGGAAAAAGGAGGGGGGGGGGTGTAACCACCCTTTATTTTCCCCTTTTTCCCCCAGTTTTTAAATTTTCAATAATCTGTATCTCATTAACCAATTCCTTCCCCCCAGATTCCCCTGGATAGGGTAGTGTCTGTCTCTTATACACATCTAGATGTGTATAAGAGACAGNCTCTGAGAGTCTCAGGATCTGCCTCTGCTTTTATACAAATTTTCAGAAGAACTGCTCATTTGTTAGTTTATTTACACATGGGAGTTTCCGCCATTATTTACATGCAAATAGGGAGTTTAGAAAAAAAATACTGTATTCTAAGCAGCTACCCAAGTCACATAAAGATCACTTCCTGTTGATTGTATTTAGTCGACTAACATAGCCAATTCTTCCTACGATACAGTAGAAGAGACAGAGGAATTGATCAATCATAATGCGACAGGTACGAATTGTACAATAATTAAGCAAGTTACCTTTTTAAAACTTTCTTTTGAAGAGGCAGCCAGGTAAAAGAAGAAACCGGTTCTAACCATAATGAAAGGACCTGATCCTACGTCATTATGTTCGCTTTTATAACAAGAACGTCTTGAGCCCAGTTCTAGGTCTAGCCGAACTCAGTGTACACACGTTGTGTTGTTTTGGCGTGGATACGTTTTTTCCGGAAGCTCAAATACTGATTTTGAAACGACGCCACTAGAGTTCTCTTCTATCAAATGGCTTTTATATAAAGTTTTGCTTTCATTACGCAGAAATTACCTAAAAATTAAATCGGTATACCTTAACATCAAAGACGTAATTAATTTCAATTATTTATGGCCTGATACATGAATGTATTATACGTTAATTTTCAGGAAGTTTTTGAAGGGGATGGTGATTGGATAGAAGCTGTATTCGGGCCATATTATAAACGTTGAGAAAGTCGTCGCAGGTGGTGTGACCATGGACCTAATAATACTTATAAATAATACCTACCTTAATAGGTCCATGGTGTGTCCAAAATACTCTCTAGAGAATAAAAAATACATGTTTCGTTATATGCCAACTTTCTGTTCCATCTGTTTACTTAATGTGATTCAACTATAATACTGAATATACACATATGGTACAATATCGAAATCCTCGAAAATCTGTCCTGTGGCAAGGCCCCTCTAAAATGGATTTTTTTTCTCGCTTTGGCCTGCTCTATATATTTTGGGTGAATATTTACTTTCTTGAAATGCAAAGTTTCTTATTATTATTTTTAAATATTTTATATTGGATATTATGTCGTAATGTGATGTTCCGATACAATAAATATGATTGGAAAAAAGAACGCACAAAGAGGATGTATAGTAGGCCCTAGGCCTACTTATTTGGTTTTATCGTGCTATGATAAGTGCGCACATCACCATCGCTTATCCTCATTATCATAATGATAAGAAGAATAACAATAATAATGATAATAATAATAATAATAACAATAATAATAATAATAATAATAATAATAATAATAATAATAATAATAATAATAATAATAATAATAATAATATTATTATTATTAATAATAATAATAATAATACTGTGACAGGTCTCCTCCAATGAAAGACCCCTCCAATTTAGGACCACCTCCAATTAAAGACCACTATTCTGTTGTTCCTTTTATCTTTATTATTCTAATGAGAGACCAAAGCTGCTCAAAGACCATGGAAACCCCAAAGTGGTCTTTAATTGGAGGAATTAGACCTGTAATAATAATAATAATAATAATAAAAATAATAATATTATATTATTATTAATAATAATATTATTAATTATAATAGGGAGCTTTCGCATGAGTGATTCCGTTCTAGCTCCCTATCTCCAGCTGCGGCCGTGGGATCGTTGTGACGTCACTTTAATATCTGGATTAGACGTAGGGGATCGCGCTTTCACGTGAATATATGCGTTCAGTGACCCGTAGCGAGTTTAGCATTTTCATAATTCTGAATTTAAGTAAATTTACTATAAAATAAAATGCCTAATTCAATAGATATTTACCTATAAACAAATATGTACTTCTTATATAATATATTTTAATTTTTAAATTATGGCTATTGCTACAATAGATTTAACTTATAAAAACATAAACTTTAAACTTAGATTAGGTATATAGCAGACGACGATCCATTTTGTGGCGCGTGCTCTCTGCTTTATTTACTTGTAAGTTCTTGGATTAGTAGCAATATGTTAGATATGATCCTATGGCTAATGTTTTAAAGTAGTTCGTGGTGGCTGGAGAGAAGTATTTAATTAATTTATTTATAAACATATCCGCATCTAGCCTAGGCTAGGTATACCTAATTTCGGGTAGAAGGAAGGACGGAGGAGTGCGATGCTACATAGGGCCCTACACCACACCACCACACATTCCCAAAACACTGCAGAATCTAGGCCTGGACAATTACCGAGAGAGATACTGTTAATGGAGTGCACTACCACTTGGCCTAGCCTACCTGTTTTAGCCTGCTTATCTTACTTAGTTTTGTCAACGTGTCATTGTTTATTTCCACTTACTTAGTCTTTTGTTCAGTGCAAGATGGGAAAAAGTGGCAGGAAAAACAAAGAGAAGAAAAAGGATTTTCAGAAAGTAAAATTAAAAGTGGGAAAAACAAAACCAGCAGCCAACAATGTTACCAAAGCAACCTTTAAAACTGGTGGAGTACTGATCAGAGAACAGCTAAAGCAAGATGACTCACAGCCCACAACACTGCGTAAGCAAAACATACACGTGAGTTGGTATACAAAAGAGAATCCTGTATACATTCATTTTATTGATAATTTTAAATTGCATGCATCTGTGATTGCATTCTTGGGTAAGGTGCTTTTAATTTAAAAATGCATCCTTGTACAAATTACTGCTGCTGCTTTTATTATTACTTAAAACTTAATGTATTGAGTAAAAAATGTAAAATTATAAAAATGTGCATCTTGAGTATAAGTTGAATAAGTGGAGCAAATGCTACAGTAGTTCAATTACTAAATACAAAATGATTGTACTAATTTTAGTAAATTAATATGGTATTTGTGATATTAAGTTACAAGAGTAGTAGACTAACACCGCATTAACTTACTAATGCAGTGTTTCTCTTGTGTAATGCTAACTTATGTACATTTGATAATGTTGAAATTATCCTTCCAGGATCTTCTTTGCCAGTTGAACCACTACAACTTCAAGGTCCGGCAGGATTCCATCTGGGGGATGAAAGAACTTCTCACCAACCATCCAGAACTGATGTCAGAACATCTGGCGCTACTACTAGACAATCTCTGCACATTGTTTACAGATAAACATGCTCCTGTTAGGAAGGCTACAATTTCACTTTTGGCTTTACTGTTTGGAAATACTAATGAGAACGATATGTCGCCGTTCATGTCTGTGTTGATTGTGTACCTTTGTAGCGCAATGACGCACATTAATGAGGACATACAACTAGATTCACTGTCAATTCTTGATTTATGTTTAGACTTCTATCCAAAGTTAATTGTGCCACACAACAAGGAGTTGCTGATGAACTTTGTCAGTCAGATTACGAGGCAGAGAAGCATGAAACCTGACTTCGAAAATGCTGACCTTGAATTATTGGTAAATCCCGACAGGAAGATGACCTCACAATCGTGGAGGTTGAAGGTACAGTAGTGTATTCAACACTAAATTTCTACATTTAGTCAACCAACAGAGTCTTTCTAGGTGTCATTAAATATATATTTTAACATTGTTTTATAATTCTATTTGAAAAGCAAATAATGAAATGATTAAGCATATTAATAATTTTGTTTCTGTTTCCTTGTTTAAAGCAGTTTGCTTGCATATTAATGATGTGACCAAATGTTGTAAACACAAACTATATTTGTTTCAATATAGGTGTTGGAACGATTAAGGAAATTCCTTCAATCGTTGTTAGAGACCAGAAAAGCTGATGAAGGTGCTATACATGACTCAGAAATGATAGCTATCAGGTGGAATGAGGCAAATCGTAGCAGACCACTGCATTTTAAACCTTTCCTAATGGAGGGCTTTACTCTAAGGTTTGTTATTGTTAGAACAGATATAACTTTGCATATATAAACATTAAGTTGATTCTGTCTACTGTTAAGCTTTCAGAACACAAATATTTTTAGCCCCAGCAACAATCCTGCCTAAACGAAACCAAAGAAACAAATTATGGAAAGCGTAATGTCGCAAGGCAGAATACATGTAGAAGAGAGAAGAACAATCATCTCATACATAACATAATTTGTAATTCAAATATAGCCTTTTTAAACTTTTGTGGAAGTGGTTTGACGCAGAGGATATGGTTTGGATTCCCAAACTTGAGGTCGGAGTTTCAATCCACCACTTTGCATTTTGCTTGTGTCCTTGAGCAAGGCACTTTATCTACATTGCTTCAGTCTACACAGCTGTATCAATGGGTACCAGCAAACTGTTAAGAGTTACCTGCAGTGGACTAGCATCCCACCCAGGGGGAGCATCACCCTCTTTCTGCTTCACGCTACAGAAACTGGGGATAAGCTCCAGCCTGAAGGATTTAGTTTACAGCAGGTAGATTACACAGTGCACTTAAGCCTGCCAATTGCAAGATTGTTCTTCCGATATAGGACCAAATTTTAATAGTGAAGGCTCGTTAAGTTTTAAATGCATGAATGATTTAAGCTATATATTACATTTTTCTCCCATACAAAGCAGCTAATATTAAAGAAATAGAAAACATGTATTTTGTGATGAGAAAAAAATTCTGATATTTGTTGAACATTTCTGTTGAAAGATCAGATTGTAACTACTGAATTTCAACTTCACTCAAATAATAATGTAAACAACTAATGAATACTGTACATGTAATGAATCGTCACTTTCACTTCCAGATCATTAACAGATGACAAATCAGGATCGAATCATCTGTCCAGTACTGATGACATTGTATCGTTTGTAAACACAGTAATTCCACTGTTGATGCAGTCATGGATGGAGGTGTCTCCCTCACTTCTCCATAAAGGAAATGGAGTACCGCATGTTGCCATAGGGACATTGGAGGCTGTTCTCTGTGTGCTATGCCTTTTACTGAAATGGTTAGAAGAGATTTGTAAGGAAAAAGATGATTATAAGGTAATTTACTTCCAAAGTGAAAATAATGATGATGATAGTTAATAATGTTAATGAAAATAATTGTGTTGATACTGATAGTGGATGAAAATGGATGTGTATTAATTATAAATTGCCATGAACAAAACCAATGATTAGAGGTCTTGATATAATTAAGGCTTTACACTTCTCATAAGAACTTCATTGCTTTCATTGAATGTAATACTAATTAATGAGAAATAACATTTTAAAAGGTTTGGCGTTAAAATGAGAAAAGGCAATTCTGTTTCTGTTTGTAATGCCTTTTTCTATGGTAATTACTTTTCAGCCTCTAACATCACTCGTGGCTCAACATAAGAAGGAGTTTAGCCAACGTTTATTTACATCATTTCCTTTCGTTGAGCATAACCACAGCTCAAACAAACGCAAGAAGGGAAGCAAGTCAAGTGTCCAGACCTCAAACCTTGCATTGGCTGAAATTATGACCTACTTCATCAAGAAACAACAGCATTTAAAAGGCTGGTTAGAGAGGCTACATGACCATTTAGTTGATGAACTCGAATGTGGAAATTATTGTTCTGCTGATCAGGTGCACTCGGTTTTGAATGTTGTGCAAAGATTAATTCTTGTCCTCAAAAAACCTGGTAAGAATTTATACAGTTTGTTTCTAAAATACTGTAGGTTTATTATAATAGTCACAGTTGGCAATTAGAGTCAACAGTTACCAGCTTGATGCTCATTATATTAATGCATGGCTTCTTAGAAGTGCTCTCTGCTGTAAGGCACATCATTGGTGTTGAAAAATATTTTTTGGATGCCAGTTAACTACTATACTCTAAATCATTTGGGAACCTCAGAATCTTGACTAAGCTCCAAAAGATATAGTTGGTGTCAAAAATGAGGTTTGGCCCAAAATGTACCGTGTGTATAACAGGCAGTCACAACATGTGTGATTTCCCCTTAAGAAAGGGCACATTCTTCTCAGATTCAAGCCTTGTCACTTAGCCTGTGGTCTCTTGATTGGTGCTTTAGCTCAAGCCCCCTGACAATATCACTGTGGATCCTCTCCTGAAGTGAAAACTGTGACCATCCCTCAACTTGAACTCATGACCCTTTGATTCAAAACTCAAAACCTGCTTCGTTGTTTGTTTGTTTGTTTTAAAACCAAAGTGTTTTGATGATGATATGAAATGTTTTTTTTTTGGTGTTTTTGGGGACAGATGTTGGAGTTCTCTTGGAAGCTCTTTGTGAATCACATAAAAACTTACATCAAAGATCGCAAGCTCGAGGAATTCTCTTACGGTTTTTGGCAGGCATAGCTATGAAGGATTTCCAGTAAGATTAATATGTTTAATTGCTAATAATCATGTAGCTTCCTTCCAAACATTAGTACAGTTTATAGGGTTTCCTCACAACAGTGGTTGTTCCCCATTTTTACTAATATTGATATGAGCAGGGGTGTATTTATGATTCTTGAAATAAGTGGGTGAGGTGTGGGGCACGAAGCTGAATTGAGGGAGCTCCATGATAGGTGAGGGTGTGTTACCTCTCATAATAAGGTGATTTGAGGTGATTTTTTTGAAGGGGTGACTGGGTGGGGACATGCACCCCCCAGATACTCAGATACTGTAAGCCACTGGATGAGAGACATCTGCACTGGCTAGATGTTGGTTATCAGTGTATGTGTTTAATAGTTTAAAATAATGATCAATTACTAATTCTGTTCACCAAGGCTAGATAGCAACAACATTCATGCAGGGGTTGTTGGGTAACTATGCCATAGATGTCATTAATTAGTGAGAAATTAATGTACATTACTTTACTTGTTTACTAGTTTTGAATCTGTAAATAACTGGGTCAGTAATCTACCCAATGAACTGCTGAGATTAAGGAGTGGAAAGTCATGTGACACTAGTGACATTATTCAGGTGATATCAACAGCTGCATCCAGAGGTCATCATACAGTGTTACAAGGACTTCAAGAAAACATATTGAAGTTTATGAGTGAGTCTTAGAGCAAGTTGTCTTAATAATAATAATATTGGTACACATGTTAATTGTTGTGTTCCAAAGCACTCTGACATTTTGAAATCAGGGTTGGTCAATCTGCAACTTTTTTATTTGTAAGATACATTTTTCCCCGAAGAAAAAAACTATCTCTAGAGTTTTGCGGTATTGGGCAATACAAAGTATTTTTTTTAAATTTTAATGATAATAAAAAATGTAAAATAATTATATTTTTAATATTTAATACTTTATTGTCTTGAGAAATCAAATGAAATTTTATAACATGGTAATAATAATAATAGATTTATATTATTAATGATTATAAAGATTGGTAACTGGAATGAAGGTTAGAAAACAATTTTTCTAATAACTTTATTGTTCGGATGTTTCATCTTTAGATCGTAAGGATGGCCTAGTCTTGCATGTGACAGATGCTGAACAGCGTAGACTTGTTCAACTACTTTATTGGGTACCAAACATAAGTAGAGATTTACTCCAAGAACTAGCCATTACCAGTATGGATGAGAGGTTAACATGTGAAAATGTTGCATGTGCCCTCCAGTTATTAACAACCAGGTAACTTACAAATATTGACCGAAATGATAGAATAGAAAAACACCATTTCATGATTTTTGTAGTTATCATTACAGTGTAATGGTATGAATAAATAAATAGAAATTAAATGAGAGAAAGAATTATTGAAATGGATAGATAAATAAAATTTTGTGGAAAAATGATACTTGTCATAGGTCCGACTTATAAATGTAAAGTAACCTAGACGGATTAGTAATAACAAACTGTATGAGGTAACGAGTGTTAGACCTTTATCTGAAAGAATTGATAAATTGAGGTGGTCTATGCTTGGCCATATATTTAGAATGCGCAAGGATACCGCTGCATATACGGCTTTGGTATTTGCTGTTGTACATTCTAATCAATTAAAAGGTCGCATAGGAAAGCACCAATGTAATCTTTTATGTGAGGTTACTAGCAATAGAAATAAAATTAGTGAGTGAATCAATAATTGAATGAAAATATCGTCATCACTTTAGTTTGCTTTCTTTTAGTGATTAGGCGAGATTTTTTTTATGCCTTGTTTGGTGAACCTGCCGGCCGCATATAATGATGATTCGAATAAAAATAAAAATTTATATTTGGTCAATTAGCGTACCAGTTGCCATGAACAAATGGAAATTTCAGAAAAAAATAAAAGTTTTTCTTTATTTTTATCCACTACCCTGAAATCTCTAAAGATAAGATATTTATATTTCTTCCTAATTATATAAATTTAAAGCATTTAATCAACCCTTTATAACACTATTTACATTTACCAATAAAATTTTATTTTCATTTTTTCCTATATCTGGATGTTTTTTTGCAAAACTCTTTGCTCAAGAAGAAAACAAAACTTTATTTTTAAATTTTTTTATGCCCTCCTCTGATCTTTAATAAAATAAGTTCACGAAACAAGGAATAAAAAAAGCCTCGCCTTAATATTAATATCATTATTGTTTCCGTAGATGTTTGGAATCTAAAATACCTGCTGTAGAGGAATTACTAAGTTGCCTGTTAACAAGTTCATTAGGTAAGCACTACCATCTTCTACCATCAACTTTGATTTCCTGAGTGATCCATACATTTGATAGATATTTATTATCACATGATATTAATATAAAAATATAAAAAATGTAATATTTAACTATATAAAACATGTGCATTTAATAAAACTAGTAACATCACCATTTTTATAATAATAATAATAATAATAATAAATTATTATTATAATAAGATTTGTGCAATAAACATGTGTTTCATTAAGAAAAAATAGGTAATTGTTACATTTGTGCCTCTAGGTGTTACCATGGAGATTCTAACTGAACTACAAGAACTTTCGTCAACTACCCCAAAGAGTGATAATGAAGGCTCATTATTCATACGACCTCCAACCTATTGTGATGTAACACTAAAGTCATGTGATTCACAGCATTACCATCGTCAAGTCAGAATATGTGAGGTGGGTGGTATGATGTTGGAATTCTGTTGTACAGATACTGTAATGCTTTAACACCTGCTTGTAATGAACTGTGTAAAAAAGTAAAACAGGTTTAGATTTCAATTTAACACAAACATTTGATTATTGTGTTATATACTATTAAAAATTTTAATACTGTATATATCCTTAAAAAACATTCTGTAAACGAAATAGTTTAATTTTTCCGATCAATATTGTATTCAGACAAGAATATTGTTGGTATAATATTGTTTAAGCAAATTCTTGTTTTTCAGATAATTTGTAGTTGTTTTAAACAACTGGAAAATAATGGGAACATTTGGAGGAGCTTTCAAATAGCCATACATAATCTACTTGTGAGTAATTTTATTTATCAACCACAAATTTGTTTTATATTTTTATTGTTTGAATAAGGCATTGCATATCGTAGTTTTAATCCTTTTTGTGTAATTGTATGTTTAGCATAGTTCATGTATGAAATGCTTATAAAATGAAAATTTTGAATTGTTGATAGCAGTTTTTTGTATTTAAAATTTAACTTTTGGTTGATAAATTATTTCTGTAGTATAGTTAATTTGATCTCCCCTGCACTTACCACTCTATTGGACCATAAAACCCAATCTATAGTTATTGATTATACAGCCGGATTAGTCTAGATTACATTTTGCAGCATATGTAATCCACCGCGACATGCTAATGCCCTGCATACCGTACCCTGGATAAATTTATTGATTTTGTTTCACTATAGAATGTGGATGCATTTTCATTATTACTATTAGGTAAATAATACATATTTTGGAAACCTAGTAATTATATGCAGCGTTTTAAATAAAAGAGATCTGTTGAAATTTTATGTTTTTATTTCAGAATTGATAGGAAATGCCTAATTTCAATTCTTGTTCATGAATAAATTGTAATTATCAATGCATATTTTGGATTTTCCAGATGAAAAGGAAAACTCTACCCATCACAGCAGCCCAGTCAATCCTAAGAACTCTTTCTTTTCTTCACTCTGATAAGTATGACATTTTGGAAGGCTTGCAGCAGAATGTAGCACAATGCTGCTTAGCCTCACTGTTGGGCAGTGTACCTTTGTATGCTGTGTTGTACCAAAATGATCATTGGGCCAACGATTTATGGACAGTGTGTGTGGACACATTGTTGAAAATGCCAAATATGTTACACATTGCATTGGAATTGATTGACTATGGAATTCCAGGTATGTACTATAGTTATACAAATAAAATCTGGTAAACAATCAACCTTTCTGAAGTGTCATTCATTCAACAACCGACCAATCAGAACAGGGCCAGACACGTTTGCATTTTGTGGGACCTTACCAACAGTATCCAAGGGGTGGAGCTTAGAAGAAAGGTCCATTTGTAGGTTTTTGCAGGCCTCATTTGCGTGCGCAAGCTTCTTGCTGTGTTTTGCTACTTACTATGTAACAATATTCTATGTGAAAGAAAGATTGAAATACATTTTATTTGCAGATGTATTGAATGAGGATGATATTTATAAGACTGCTGTTGTTATTGTTCGTCTGCTGCAGACCCATTCCTTATCTAGCTACCTAGTTGCAGAGGCTCCATTACTGCAGAGAATTTCTCATAATATACAGGTTGGTTAAACTAATGATAGCAGGCCAGTATAATTTTGTATAAATCTGAAATAATACATTTATTTAATGACAGTATTTTAACAATATATTTATTTTAGGATGTTTATAAGATTTATGTACTGTAATAGTCAAATTATCATTACTATTTTTATTTTGTAATAACCATTATTCCCATTCATATGCACTGTATTTTCGACATCAAGTGTACATTAATTTTAAATGTTTGTAATGCTGTTGCTAATTTACAAACTTTCTTCCCACAGAATCACCACTTTTGCCCAAAAGAAAGTCAATGGAAGGTGGAATTATGCTATGAATTGAGTCTACTTCCATCATCAGCAAGCAAGAAGTAATTACAAATATAAAAGAACAATGTACTTTTAATTTAAGAACTAACTTATTTTATAAAGATTTAAATAAAATCATATCTGGAGTAAATAATGAAGAACAGGTACTTGCATGGTGCTTTGAAAAAGTTACAAAGATTTTAGATGAGGAAATAAGCAATTCCTCCAACAAGCATTGGTAATTTTCATGACTTATTCTACATTTATATCAGAATACAGACAGTGGTGGTGCCAGCGGGGAATTTTCCCTTGTCGGACAGACTTGGACCCCGTTTGTCTGATGCCACGATGAGGTCATTCGACCAAAAATATGAATTTGCCTATCCATAACGTTATTTTGATTGCCAATCTCTAATATTGTAGACTAAAAGCACAAGAGCCATACTAAGCCATAAAATCTCTCCCCATGAACCCTACCACAAATCTCGTGAAAATCATGTAGAATAAATAAAATACAATATAAAAAATGAAGTGAAGTAACCATTTTATTTTGCAAGGTACAGTATTATGAAAGAGAAAACATGCATCCGAGTGCAGTATGTATTATCACAAATAATATTAAAATGTACATTTACCAATGTAATATATGATTTGAAGACAATATTAAAGCTTTTTCAAAAGATGGGTTATTTTGTATTTTTCTATAGGGAGTTTTTGTTATGACGGTCTAGGACGTAATGAGGTCACTTGGACCTGCTCTTGTTGTCAACTTTATGTTGTGCAGGAAATTCACCCTTAGGTTCATGTTCTCATTGCAATCAAAAACTCCCTAAATTTCCATAAAGAAATGAAAAAGACTTCTTGTTCCTCGTGTTTAGTTTGGGAGAAAACACATGGCAGTCTTTTCCCTTAGCAGCCCTGCTAGCCAGATTTTTTTCTACCAAATGGATTCTAATGAAGGAATAAGAAATGTTATTCAACCACTCAAAGTATAATTGTTTTGCAGAAAGCTTTATTTCCAGGGTGGGTGCATTCCCACCCCTCTTGCATACATCCCTAGGATTTGATTTGATTATATCTTTCATGTTCTCCAGCATTACTGAGTATAATTTTAATAAATCATCTTAAATTATAAAAGTATAATTATTCCAACACAAAAGATTATAATATGAATGCATGTAGGAATCATATAATAATCATACTGTACTTTATATCTAAAGGGTGACCTTTTCAGCTATACTAAGTGCCCTTGAATAACAGAAAATAACAACAGTCAGTGTAACATTAATTATATTCCAGTCTGAGTTGGAATAAATCGTTATCTTGCTTTATAAAATCACCACTAAAAATGCTGTAGTTTGGTTGCCTGTTCAAATAATTATGAAAGTCCACACCAACCTGACAGCCAATAATTTTTAATTTAGAAAATTGTTTTTTTAAAACCTTTACTTTAATTAAACCTAATGATAAAGGTCACATATTTTGCTTTTTTAAAAGCCCATAAAATGGTATTTTTTGAAGATTAGCCCTATATTTGACTCCATTTTTTAGCCAGCTACACGCAGTATCGACCATAAAGAGCAGCAAATTGTATGAATTCCGACAGGGGTCGTCTTATACATGACATACAATGATTGTCCAAAAAATCTCAAAATCCGGGGCCGTTGTGTAAGCAGTTTGCCTTGTACGCGAGTATACTGGTATAGTTTTTCCAAATTACGGAAGTCTCAACTTTGAAAAAAAAAAAAAAAAGGTGCAGCATGTTTAATAAATATAATGTTCACCAGCTCCATGATTGGATATTACTACATGTTGTTAACTTCTGGTTTACTCCAAAATTTTTCTGTTCTTAAAGTCAAAAAATCTAAATTCAAGTGTCCCAGCGACTCTTTCTGACTTTCTTAACAGGTGGTGGCATGTCAGTTGGAGGAAGCATACTGTTGCTGTTATTGTCCCCAGAACTTGTTTTAATTCCAGAATCTCCTGTACTATCCCACCTTGATGCTTTGGCAACTAATTGTTTCATAGTCATACTGGGGACTGGGTACGCCACCTGGCTGACTTCAGGAGATGCAATGTTGGTTGTTATACTTTGAGATAGTATTTCTGGTGTCGAACTGATGGACTTGCTGCTCTCATCCTCTGAGCTATGCCTTCTACTTCCACTATCATGACTATTTCTTCTGCTGCTCCTGTCATCATGCCTCCTTTCACTATCATGGCTGTGTGATCGACTTCCAGTACTCCCTCTATCGTGAGTGTCTCTTCTATCTCTATCACTACGATCTCGTCCCCTATTGTGCCTATTTCGATCCTCTCTCCTCTCATCATCTCGTCTGTAATCATGTCGATCATCATCATAGTTTCGCCGTCTTTCGTGTCGGTCGTCATGTCGATCATCATATCGATCGTCATCACGACTTCTCCTACGATCACGTTTCTCGTATCGATCACTTTCTGTTTTTGTAGTTTCATTTCTGACACTGCTGATAAATCCACTTATCTTGGAAGGTGGTATGAAGCTGGGAGGAGGCATGGCTGCAGGTGTATTTATCTTTTGGACAGTGGTGTCTATCTTGGGTGGAATAACCATCCCTTTTTTACCACCCCATGTGCTGCTAGCAGATGCGGATGAAGCTGCTTGGAACTGTGACTTAAACTGAGCCTAAAAAAAAGAATAAAGCATTTAAAGCAGTTTCAATAATTTTTTAATTTAATTCTTATATTAATTTTTTCACTTTTGTATTTTCTTCGTTAGATCATATTTAAATATTTCATCATTATATACAAGTTGAATTTATATAGAAACCATGAGTGGCATAACAACAAAGCCTGGGCCACTGTCTCTAAGGCTTTTCGAGGCCCTACTACCCAGGGGGCACAGAGGGGCATGGGAAAACCACTACTTCTGTGGTTTTGAAGTTTTAAGGGCATATTAAAAGTTTTTTTATGTGCTCTGCCCCTTAGAAGGCCCCTGCTTGGATGATTTGGAGCAAAATGAAAAACACTGAAGAATATCCCGGAGCCTTTTCAGGTCTGGGGGCCCTGATGTAGCTAGTGCGAGCTCATGGCTGTTATGCCACCTGGTAACTTACTGAAAAAGAAGTCTTCATTGCTGCCAGCCTGCTTGAGTACAGACCTTCTGTGACACCACCCCCAAACCTTTCTCCCAGTGGTCCTGTCGCATTTGTCTTCGCAGTAGGTGGCTCTAAATCACCTGACTGATCTTTGGCCTCTGTTGCATCATCACCGTCCGAGCTGCCGAGACCAGGGCGTTCACGATACCCAAGTCCACCACCGCCCTGATTGAGACGTTTACCACGTCCACCTTTGAATCGCGACTTTCGAAAGCGATTGTTCTATAAGAATAAGATACAATATATAAAATATAAAATAAATTGTATATAATATGCATATATATTTTTTTTCATTCACCATATTTTCATCCAACAGCAAATATAAAAATGCATAACAACCTTTATCCTACTGTTTAGTATATATATTTAAAGATGTCTGTTTCTATGATTGGGATAATAATGCAGAGCAGTTAAAGATTTGGGCAATATGCACTATATAAACTTTAATTAGATTGTGTAGTTGATTATTACCTGCATTGCTAGTTCCATCACCTCAGATGGCACTGATTGATTAGCTCCCTCTAAGTTCCGTACAAGATCACCAGCAAAATGAACATCTTTACTTGTCATAAGGGTAAATGCTGTGCCTTTCTCACCTGGAACAAAAATGATAGAAAATTTATTTGAGTAAATATAGTGGTAATGGATTTGAACATTAGACACATTTATAGAATGATATATTTGAACAGATTTGCTCTGACTGTTATGCTGCATGGAATGTTTGAATTAAGATGCTTGGCCTAAGTTAAGTTTAATGTAATATTATGTTTTCTTAATGTAAAGTAGCTAAAATGTTCAGTCTGTTATGTTTGATAGTAATAATAATTTGAACAGCTTCCAAGTGCTTTTACAAAGATACAGAGATATGAAATAAATGATGAATAAATACATAGGTAATGGGTAATGCTATGTTTGAACTAACCTGCTCGACCTGTTCGACCAATCCGGTGAGTATGAGTGTCAATGTCTCTCGCAACATCATAATTTATGACGGTCTTAATGGAGGGGATGTCCAAGCCACGTGCTGTAAAAATAATCACAAATTATAACCAAATAATGATGGATTCTATGCCCAACGAACATGTTCAATTTTATGTATATTGTATAATTCAGTTTTCATAGGTTGAAAATAAAGTAACTAAACTAAGGCTTAAAAGAAAATTACTATAATATCTAGTCATCACTTCAACTAAAATTAACATTCAGATTCCTAAACCTCATAATACAAATTTATATTATAATACCTGTAATTATTATATTATAAAAGTAACAACAATATATTGTTATTGCACCAAATAAATATTATTTTAAATAAAAAAGATGCAACAAGAAAACAAGCTACTGTACTTGATAGTGATTTTTTAAAGATTTTAATAGGTTCTCCTTGCTGACAAACTAATGACAGACATTCTATTCATTGGTACAGCTTATCATCTTTCCTATCATAAATCTCATGTTCTTACCTGCAACGTCTGTTGCTACCATTACTGCAAACTCTTTTCGTTTGAAACCACTGATCACCTTATTTCTACTGCCCTGATCCATATCACCATGCAACAGCCCAACTGAAACGACAACATGGTAAAGGTAATGGCCACACGGATGAGGTAATGATCCCATGATAAAGTTATTAACCTCATGGTTAATAGCAACATGGTAAAGTTATTGACCACATGGTAAAGATAATGACCTCATGGTTGAGGTAGTGGCCACATGGTAAATTTACTGACCTCATGGTTGAGTTAATGGCCCCCACAGTATTAGTTAAGCCTGGTTTCCATAAAATCGCTACACGCTATTGCCGACTCCTTTGGCGATGCTGATTGGTTAGTTGAACCAGGAAGCGTTCCCGGTTGAATCAGGGACAGCTACGCAGTGCAAGGATTGCAGTGAAAACGCTGTAGTGACTGTGTAGCGATTCTATGGAAACCAGGCTTTACTGACCACATGGTTGAGGTAATGACCTCATGGTTGAGATAATGACCTCAGGTTGAGGTAATGGCCACATGGTAAATGTAAGGAAAGTTGTTTCGTTAAAAGTTGAGAAAAATCCAGTCACTGATAAGAATTAAACCAAGTATAGTGGGATTGAAGGGCAAACATTTTAACCACCAATATACAGCTCCACTATTCATGCATGGAGAAAAATAAAATAAAATATTTTATTTTCTCCATGATTCATGTTAGTACTTACAAAATAGGCAATATTGTACATACTGTATAAAACAAAAATATTTGAATACTTATTTATAATATTCTACTTTTAAAAAAGACATATTTACTGACCTATAAAGTCTTGCTTTCCTAAGTTCGCTGCCAATTCCTCTGCATTGACTTTCTTTGTAACAAAGATTAAAACACTTCCAACAGTCATAAAGCTCACCAGCTTGGATGTCAACCACTTCCACTTCTGGTAATCCTCCTGGAACAACTGCACTATCTGCTCTACATCTTGATTTGCCTGCAAGTATATTCATCATTTATATTTAGTTACATTTATGGCTTCAACACAAGGATTAGGGAATTACTGTAAGTTGCAAATATTGGTTGCAAGACATGATATACCTGTGTGAACACTGGTTGTGAGATACTGTGTGCTTGTGTACTGTAATCATTGGATGCAAATCATTGGCTACAAAACATTTTATACACGTATAAAAATTGGTTGCAAGAATTTGGTTAAAATAAATTGCGGTCCTGTTTAAAAATTGGTTGCAAGACATTGTCCATATGTGTAAACACTCGTTGCAAATAATGTATGCATGTGTGAACAATGGTTGTGAGATACTGCATGCTTGTGTACTGTAATCACTGAAAGCAAATCATTGGTTACCATACATTGTGTACATGTCTTAACATTGCTGGCAATGGTTGCAAGATAATGTGTGCAAATGTATTTATTGGCTGCAATATGTTGGTTGCAATACATTGGTTGCAATATGTTGGTTGCAATACATTGGTTGCAAGACATTGGTTGCAAGACACTGACTTCAATACATCAGTTGCAATACAATAGTTACAAGACATAGGTTGTAAGGAATATGGTATAAGGCAGTTTTAAATGCGGTTCTACATTTTTAATATATCAATTTGACATACCTCCCCAACGTCACCCTGTACCACTCGCACAGGATCTATTAAAATGTCCCTTGCTAGCTTCTCTATCTTTCTTCTGAATGTTGCACTAAACAACAATGCTGTACAAAATAGATATTGAATTTTAGTCATACAAACAACACCAACTATCCAATTATTTTGATATAGCACATATACGTATTAAAGACTAAATCTAGCCATAAAAAATTATTGCATATATTTCTGTCTTCTCGGTTTAAAATACTTACTTTGCCGATCTGGTCTGACATGATTAGCAATTGAGCGCACTTGGGGCTCTGAAAAAGCAAAATGATAATCCTAAAGAATTATTATAAACAATAGCACATTTATTGCCAATAACATCTAAAGCTATAAAATGTTAACGTTCTGAACTTGAAAGTGCCACTGGTTTTGTGAAAGCATCACCAGGTCTTTTTTGTTCTTACTTTGGCTTTTGAATAGACAAAAACTAATTAAATACCACTTTTGTGACCAGGTTCTCGAATAACAGCTTTATTCACAAATTAGAAAATCATTTTCATAGAATAATATACAGGCATTATCCAGGCCTGCAGGAAAGTGTTAATAAATAAGAGTTGGTCCTTTTAAGAGGGGTCTTTAATTAGAGGGAGATTTGTAGTATTGTATAATTATTTTTATTATTATTATTATTATTATTATTATTATTATTATAAAATCGTGCAAACAAATTTTTGAATGGATGGTTACCAAAGCCCATGTCAAACATCCTATCAGCCTCATCAAATACGAGAAATGAAACTCGCTGAAAATTGGTTGCTTTCTTCTTGATGAGATCAATCATACGACCCTGTAAAGTAAAAAACCAATGCAGCTTTAATTTGGATTTTATTTGGTGTAAACACCAAGGATAGCCCACGAAAGTCTGGAAGACTTATTTCCAGTGGGGTCCTTCTGGTAGTGATTGGGCAGTACACAATCCTCTACACTTTTCTGAGAGTACTGCGTTCTTCAACGTGCACATGGGCCATAAATGCACACAGGACTAACAGCTTAAACGTCTCATCTGAAAGACGGTGGGCTATTGTAACTTGTATTTCAGCCCTCTAGCTGAAACACAAGGAGAGGCAGTGATGGGAATTGAACCAGGGACCTAGAGATCTCTACGGTTCAGTCCACACACAGTGGCTACCTCCAGATTAGCCGACTAAGCTAAGCTGCTCTTAATTTAAATTACACTTTGATACATCTATCAGTAAATGCAATTATTCGACCAATATACAGCATTAACTAACTAACTGATTATCTGTACTTACTGGTGTACAAACAATGATCTCTGCACCTTCTTGACATGCTTTTGTTTGTTCCCACATATTTCCTCCTCCATAAGCACATACAACCTTTATATTGTAAGCTTTTCCAAACTTTTTACATTCAATATATATCTGGAAAATAATTTAGATATTTATTTATATTTAGAAATATAAATACTACACAAGTTCTCCTTAACTTCCAGCTAGCAATTCAGTAAAATTGGTGCTTCTAAATATTCATATTCTATATAGCAAGTAACTAGTAGTAGTAACATTCTATGCATGAAGATTTTAGGCTTATAGTGTGTAGCAGTTTTTAGTTGAGGAAAAATTCCTGGGAACCAGAAAGTTTCAAGCCAGGCCCTAGGATTGGAAGGCCCTCACCCCCTCTTGTATATATTAGGCCACAATAAATATTGTGTTGCTTAATCACCAAGACATTTATAAAATCTGGGTCAGTCAGTAATTATTAGGCCCACTATTAAGGTTTACTGTCAACCTTAATGCACCCCCTCCCCTCCCCCCATGCATTTTATTAAGAACTTATGTAACCACAAGCCCAAATCTATGGTGTATTATTAATTAAATATTTATCACCATACAAGTATTTAGGAAAAATTATTTATAAATATCTTTTCATAAAAATATATAAACAAAGCAGACCCTATTTAAAAATTTTGGGTTAGTCAGGATTTTTCAAAATTAACTCTCTTATTCTTAATCATAGTAGTAATCAATGCCTTTAGCATTTACCTGCTGGGACAGCTCTCGTGTTGGGGCACAAATCAAACCAATTGGACCATCGCCAGGCTGTAGCTCTTTCTATAATAGATCACAAGAATAGTATATCAAATTTAAAATAACATAATTTATTGAAAGTTTTTATGTTTTTTGGTGCAATAATTATGGGTTCAGATTATCCCATTATTTTTCAATTTTTACTCACAAATGAATGTAAATCCCAACACAATGCAGTGTTTTAATAAGCAGTAATTCGGTAAGGTATTTACAAACAGCAAAGTGGGATTAATGTGTTTGCTGATCTATTTAGGTCTTACATGCAGTTATAAGTGGCTCCTATATGAATATGGATGTCATAAGTTTTAATTTAACTAACATTTAAATAAATTTTCTTTTGATTCCTGTTAAAATATAAACATTCTGATTTGTTCTTGAAGACCACTTAAAATATAAATGTTGTCATTGATTGTTTACCATACCTGATCCATGATGTGTATAAGCAGAGGCCAGATAAATGCTGCCGTTTTCCCACTACCAGTCTTGGCAATACCAATCATATCGCGTCCACCCATTGCTATGGGAATACCCTGTCAAAAGAAATTTGCATACAAAATATATGATAAAAGTGTCATTCATGTATATATATATATATATATATATATATATATATATATATATC